ACTGTCCCCGTGTCCCGCTGTCCCCCCATGTCCCACTGTCCCCGTGTCCTGTCCCCACGTGTCCAACTGTCCCCATCCCGTGTCCCACTGTCCCCATGTCCCACTGTCCCCGTGTCCCATTGTCCCATGTCCCACTGTCCCCATGTCCCACTGTCCCCGTGTCCCGCTGTCCCCGTGTCCCGCTGTCCCCGTGTCCCGCTGTCCCCCCATGTCCCACTGTCTCTGTCCTGTTGTCCCCATCCTCCGTGTCCCACCGCCCCCATGTCCCACGATCCCCCTTGTGTCCGCCCGTCCCTGTCCTATTTGCTGCTGTCCTCCACCTTGTGTTCCACCATCCCTGTCCCCTCTGTGTCCCGCCACCCCCCGTCTTCCCCTGGCCCGCCATCCCTGCTGTCGCCCGCCGTCCTGCCAGGTGTCCGCCCACGCTGTCCGTGACACTGGTTGGCAGTATGTGGCGCAAGCAGGCCCATCAACGCCTCCTGTGATGCGTTTGCTCCTTGAGGGGCTGGTCGCGGGGAGGGGCACGTGCCATGCTTTCCTGGGGTGAGAGGACCTCAGGTCTTCAGGGTGCGGTTCACAGGTCTCTAGTCGGGGGCCCACAGGACGAGGGCCACGGGCTGCTTTCCTTTAAGAGGATCAGCCTGGGAGCCGCTGAAGCCCAAAGCCTGGGCCCCAGAGTCGGGGTGCAGCCTGGTGAACGAGCCCCAGCGGCTGGGACCCCCTTCTCTCAACCCTCTGAGACCCTGCCCCCCCCCCAAGACACCATCCCCAGGAGACGGCCCCCTCCTCTGACACTGTCCCCCGAGCTGCGGCCGAGGCCCCACCCCTCCAAGACCCCCGTCTCCCCGACCTCCCGCTTCAGACACAGGTGTCCTTTGGTAATAGCCAGGAGTCCCAGTGCCACGTATCAGACATCCAGGCCCGTCTCATTCTTGGCAGGACCAGCAGCCTCAACCATGCTCCCTGGGGCCACCGGAGGGGCCCGTTTCTTTATCGTGAGGATGCCTCCTTTACTCTGACCCAAATTTCTGGGGCCCCGCTGCGTGGTCTCTGTTTTTATGGACTCTGTGTATGAACCTTGGCTGTACCTGGGCTCGTAGGGGCAACCAACTCTAGGATGTGGGACATGGGACAGGAGGATCCACGTGCGAGGTTCTCAGAGTGGCTGTGACAAATTACCTCAAACCTGGTGGCTTAAAACAAGAATCCATCCCCTCCCAGCTGTGGAGACAGAGTCTGAGATCCCGGCGGGGCAGGGCCGCTGAGATCCCGGCGGGGCAGGGCCTCTGAGATCCAGGCGGAGCAGGGCCGTGCTCCTTCCAGAGGCCCCAGGGGAGGGTCCTCCCTGCCTCTTCCAGCTTCTGGGGCTCCAGGCGTCCCTGGGCTTGTGGCTGCATCCCTCCCGTCTCTTCCTCCGTCCTCACGTGGCTTCTCTTCTGTGTCTGTGTCTTGTTTTCTGTCTCTTACAAGGACACCTGTCATTGGATTTAGGGCCACCCTGATCCAGGTTGAGCTCATCTCAGATCTTTCAGTTCATCCCATCGGCAAAGATCTGATTTCCCCACAAGTTCACATTCTGAGATTCTGCGTAGGTGTGAATTTGAGGAGTGAAAGTCACCGCAGAACAGCCAGTGAACAGACTGTCCCCGCATCTGGATGGGTTTAGACCCATGTCCCTGGATATGGGGCCGATGCCAGGGGAGCCCGTGTGCGGTTGTAGGTATTGTCAGGTGTTGTCATGGGAACACGTGTGTCTGTCCTGGCCCAGGGATGTGTGCAGCGAGCCCACATTGCGGTGAACGGGCGACAGTGGTTCGCTTTGCGTGCAGTTTGAGCAAAGGGCTGGGCCTGGTTGCCATCGTTTGCTCATCACTGAGTCCGTGAGCTATGTTGGGGCGCTGTTGTGCCCAGGAGCCCAGCCGCGCTCCGCACGTGCCCTGAGCCCACGCTGGACCACCGAGGCCTCTCAGAGCAGCACACCACTGCAGAGCATTCTGTGTCCGGTGAGGGTCTGAGGGGGCTGACCTGGCCACTGTCTCCCCGCAGCACTGACGAGTCAGCAGGAAAGAGTGCTCATTGAGATGCTCGTGGCCGCTGTGCGACAGGCTGCAGAGGGCCGCCCACCTGCTGGCCGCCGACTGGGCAAGAAAGTCAGTGCCACCCCCACCCCCATGTGGATGCACTTCGTCCCCTCTGCTGACCGCTCCGCTGGGGCTCTCGTGCTGGGGCTCTGTGGGTGCCCGCTCCCACCTCGGCCGTGCAGCGCCCCCGCCCGCCTGGCCCTGGGCTCCGCTTTCTGCTGCTTCCGCCTTGTGCTTGCCGCCCTGGCTGCTCACTTGGCCGCGGGCCCCGCGGGCAGGGCTCTTGGCCACCCAGGTAGGTCTTGCTGGCCGTGCTTCGCAGCTGCCGCCCACCCCTCCTGCCGGCCGCCAAGCCCTCTGCCACCTGGTTCCTGTGTCTGCCATCGGCCTCCCCGGGGAGGGCACTCCACAGTCCTCCCTGTGCCGTGCGCACGCTCTGAGGACGTGCAGTTGGTCAGCCAGCCTTTGAATTGCCTCTGCGGGAGCCTCTGGCGCTGTTGGGACAAAAGATCATACCCCGGGGGACCTAAAACCACAGGAATTATGCATTCTGCCCCAGCTTTGCAGACCAGAAGTCAGATCCAGGTGGGGCAGAACCGCTGAGATCCAGGCGGGGCAGGGTGCTGAGATCCAGGCGGGGCAGGGCCGCTGAGATCCAGGCGGTATCTGGCTGTGCTCCCTCCTGAGATTCCTGGGAAGGGTCCTCCCTGCCTCTTCCAGCTTCTGGGGCTCCAGGCGTCCCTGGGCTTGTGGTCGAGTCCCTCCCATGTCTGCCTCCGTCCTCACGTGGCTGTCATTTTCCGCTCTGTGCACATGTCTGGTTCTGGGCCCTCAGTTTTGTAACACCAGTCCTACTGGATTAGGGCCACCGTACGGTGTGAACTTGGGAGAGACAGCTCAGTTCTTGATGGCGTCCCTGCATGGGAAGCACTTTATTGGAAACGAAACAGCAGAGTAGCCATCGAAGCTTTGTCCTTGATCTGGGGGCAGCTCTGGCTGGGTGTGACCTGGTGCTGTGGGAGGAGGTCCCAGGACCACCGTGGGACCCTCGTGGCTCCGTCATGGGCTCAGGCCATGCATGCTTTGCCTGCAGGCGGCCAGGGAGGTGGACGGGACCCGCCGCTGCCGCGAGCATGCCAACATGAGCCGACACTTTGTCAAGGTGCTGCCCCAGCTGCTCTCCAAGGTGCCAAGTGGGGAAGGGCCCCAGGCCGAGAGCCCAGGGAGGCTGGGGGAGCTCCAGGGCAGGCCAGGAGGCGGCAGAAGCGAGGGGAGGCTGGCGAGGCTCCACTTCACGCCTCCTCTCTGGGCAGTTTGCAGCAGACAAAGAGAAGGTGACCCCCCTCCTGCAGATCCCACAGTATTGCAACCTGGACGTGTACGACATGGACGGCCTGGGCTCGGTACGTCCTAGGATTCCGTTCCTTCTCCCTGAGCTCCATGCCTGGGGGCCACACCCCTCCTTCTCAGGGTCCACAGCCCGCTTGTCTGGCTCCAGGGATGGGGCCACGTCTCTTCTCCCTGGAGTTCCACGCGGGGCAGGGGGCACACTCCTCCTCCTCAGGGTCCATGCCCCTTCACTGGGGCCCACGCCCCCCTGCACCGGGGTTGCGTCCCACTCTCCTCTGGGTCCACATCCCCCCCTTCTGTAGGTCCACGCCCCCCACCCCGTCTGGGTCCCGGCATGGGGGCCACGTCCCTTCTCCCTGGCATTTCGGGGGGGCTGCTTTCCTCCTCCCTGTCCACACTGCGGGGGTCAGCCATCACCCACTCTTGTGGCAGAGTCAAGACCCCTATGCTTGCCGCTCCTGTGACCTTCCTCTCTTGGCTCCATGCTCCCCTCCCTGCGCTCCAGCTGACCTTCTTCCAAACCTCGTGACCTTCCACTCCATCCCTGACCTTTCCCCTGAACCCTATGATCCCCTGGCGTCCCCCCACCCAACCCCTGATCTTCTCCCTGACCTTTATCTCCCCTCAACCCTATGACCCCTGACGGTTCCCTGTATGACCTCGGACCTTTCCTCCTTGACCTACTGACCTTTCTTCTTAGCCCATGAACCCCTGGCCTTCCCCCTCAACCCCCTGACCTCCTCTCTGATCTCCTGAACTTTCCGCTGGCAGTTTCCCCCTCGACCTCCTGACCCCCTGACCTTTTCTCTCCAGCCCATGCTGTAATCCCCTGACCGGTCCTTTGTCCCCCCC